ATGAATAAATATATACATCAAAAATAAATTTATGATCCGATTTCTTAATGATCAGTCGTAGGCACGGCTGAAAAGAACCGTCTTCAGCCTGGACTTGAACATAGCTAAAGAAGGAGCCTGTCTCACACCTTCGGGAAGACTGTTCCAGATTCTAGGTGCATAGGTCTGGAACGCTGCCTCCCCATGTCTAGTCCCGACATTATTGGACCGTTGTCGTGAAGAGTGAGCTGAATCCAATGCAAAGCTATCAATTTACCGGTCAATCTATGTTCCTAATTTCACCTATGGTCATGAGTAGGGCTGGGCGATATATACGGTATAAGCGGTATGCGATATAAATTTGGCCCACGGTAGAGATTTTTGTTATACCGGCATATTGCGATAGGTCATTATGTCATCAAATTGCGCAGGCTCTGACGCCAACAGAGAGCATCAAAACAAACCGGCATTCAGCAGCATTAGCCTAGCGCATGAGCCTAGCAGCATTAGCCTAGCACATTAGCCTTGCACATTAGCCTAGCAGCATTAGCCTAGCAGACACCACTGGAAACGGCAAACAACAGCACGGCATTCACACCGTGTTTCTGTCTCTGTATTGTTGTCACAGCGGCCCCAGCAGAGGTAAATACACACAGTAATCACAGTTTAAGAGTCTACCTTTAGGCCAATCGTGTAGGCTCGAAGCGCCAGTGTGAGCCAAAATAGATCCATGCGTGTGCTGTGTCCGCAGCATCATCACATCAGAAGTTTGGGAAAGTTAGCGTCAGATTTGGACCTCCGCGGTCAATAGCTCACAAAAGCTACTTTGTTAAACAAAGTTAATTGTGCCAAAATGACCATTTACATCAATTGTTCAAATCCAATGTGCTTTTTTAATGCAGATAAATCCATTGAATCATCCAGTTCACTGCAAGTGCAGAGAAAACGCTCAGGAAGCGTCAACAAATGTCAAGACCAGCTTTGTAAACGAACAATAGCTTTTACTGAAGCCATGTACACGCACAAAACTCTCAGACACTATAAATAATGACCATATCTAACCGCTACAGGCTTTGATTTCAACATTTGAGTTTTTTATATTTTAAATGAATATAAATGTCTTTCTTTTTTATTTGCTTTTACAGTAAATGGTCTTTACTGTAACATACATAAATAATGTATGTTACAGCATTTGTTTCACAACTATACTACAAATATATATACTAGATTATAATATATAAATAAGTAACAATCTTGACTATTTTATGCAAGAACCTGCTAGACCTACAATTCACACACCAAATAATACCACAATATATACCGTCTACCGTCTGTGTCCCAAATTATACCGCAATATGAATTTTAGGCCATATCGCCCACCCCTAGTCATGAGTACCAAAGGGACAAGAACAAGGAAGATCCAGGGAACAGTGTGCCTCAGCTGGCCTGAGAATTCTTCGAGATTCCACTGAATAATCTGGAGGAAGTGTGGGAGGTTAGTGAAGTTTCGGTGTCTCTGCTGAAACTTTTTGATGGATGGATGAACATTTACCTTTGAGTTTTTATGATAAGGCTATTGGTCCAATATATAATTTTTCTCATAGTCAATGAGCGATAGGGCTGCAATTCTATTCCACTTTTTGTATAATATTGTGAAGTATTGGTGTCCTGATAGACTTTTGGATTACAAAAATTAAAAGAACCAAAAACAGGGGAGGAGGGGGAGGTGGCAGTGATGAAGAATGGGAAATGGGAGTAGAGGATCAAGACCGGGAAGGTACAGTGAGGCACTTGCAGCGTTTTCTTGTCTCCAGTTTCTCAAGGGAACAGGCACGGACAGTTTACTGAACCTTGAAAAGTTTAGCAGCATAAGTGCAGTGAAGCATACTGCATAGACTACTTCAGAGATGTCTCAAGGCATCAACTTTCTGCAACTCAACTAAAGTGCCAGAATTGACTGAAAATAGATTAAACATTATAATTTTTTATTAAATCAATCAACAAATACTATTATATAAAGATCATAGCGTTCCTTGGGGATGGAAATGAACTATTTGTGGAGTTTTTTCTTTGTTATTACATCTTAAAAAACCTTGAAAGGCTGAGTGTTCATGGGGGAAAAGGAATGTAAACATGGACGATAGACGGTGAGAATTAGAATGTGCTGGTAGAAGTCGTCGTGTTGCAGTGGTGAATGTAGCATCTGTGCGCTAGATCATAAGGCGATGATAGGAGAAGGTTCTTGCAGAGGGTGCCTTTTTGAACTTTGAAAAATGATTGATTTGAGTCTGCCGTCTTCCATTGGGTAAACATAACGGTTATAATGAAGTCAGGTTACCCTTTTGGGACGATTACACTTTGGAAAGGTCAAGAATAATAGCTGTGACAAATAGCAAATAGGCTATAAAAATCAGTTGTAATGGAGGCCATAGTGATGATGATGATGAGTCAGAATGATTAACCTGTAGGAGAAATATTTAGCTAACATTCATTCTGTTCCAATTACTTTAGTAGGGGTGTCACGTTTTTAATTTTTTAAATTGAAATCAATTTAAATTACGTCATGGTCTCGAGCATCGAAATAAAACAGACGATCACCCCCAGTTTTACACACATCAGGGAGGTGTGCAAAGAGGTAAAAGCACATGACGACATTTTGCACGTTTTCTATATGTGTTGCACAACACGTTTACGTCACAGATCCTTCGTGCCCTGCATTACACAGCCGCAGTCTTTTTAATACTCGCTTCCCTTTTATGTGAAACCTTTTTGCCCACATAGCTCCAAAGGCTGCACATAGCTCACAATGGAAGACAACACAGAAAGCGCTGGGCAAGAGCAACACAGGCAATGAGAGCAATAGCAAAACAGGGGAATTAAGGAGCGTCAAAGGTTTCCAAAGTGTGGGAACAGTTCAGACTAAAATCAATGGTAAAGGCTGTAGTAGCAGACATTGCAAGATGGTGCTAGCATACCACAATAGGCGAATGAAGCCTCGTAACACACTGAGGCATTCCAAGAAGCTATGTTTGCAATTACATACAGTGCCTTGCGAAAGTATTCGGCCCCCTTGAACCTTTCAACATTTCGCCACATTTCAGGCTTCAAACATAAAGATATTAAAAAAAAAATTTGTGTCAAGAATCAACAACAAGTGGGACACAATCGTGAAGTGGCACAAAATTTATTGGATAATTTAAACTTTTTTAACAAATAAAAAACTGAAAAGTGGGGCGTGCAATAATATTCGGCCCCCTTGCGCTAATACTTTGTAGCGCCACCTTTTGCTGCAATTACAGCTGCAAGTTGCTTGGGGTATGTCTCTATCAGTTTTGCACATCGAGAGACTGGAATTCTTGCCCATTCTTCCTTGCAAAACAGCTCGAGCTCAGTGGAGAGCGTTTGTGAACAGCAGTCTTCAGCTCTCTCCACAGATTCTCGATTGGATTCAGATCTGGACTTTGACTTGGCCATTCTAACACCTGGATACGTCTATTTGTGAACCATTCCTTTGTAGATTTGGCTTTATGTTTTGGATCATTGTCCTGTTGGAAGATAAATCTCCGTCCCAGTTTCAGGTCTTTTGCAGACTCCAACAGGTTTTCTTCCAGAATGGTCCTGTATTTGGCTCCATCCATCTTCCCATCAATTTCAGCCATCTTCCCTGTCCCTGCTGAAGAAAAGCAGGCCCAAACCATGATGCTGCCACCACCATGTTTGACCGTGGGGATGGTGTGTTCAGGATGATGAGCTGTGTTGCTTTTACGCCAAACATATCGTTTTGCATTGTGGCCAAAAAGTTTGATTTTGGTTTCATCTGACCAGAGCACCTTCTTCCACATGTTTGGTGTGTCTCCCAGGTGGCTTATAGCAAACTTTAAACAAGACTTTTTATGGATATCTTTGAGAAATGGCTTTCTTCTTGCCACTCTTCCATAAAGGCCAGATTTGTGCAGTGCACGACTGATTGTTGTCCTATGGACAGACTCTCCCACCTCAGCTGTAGTTATCTGCAGTTCATCCAGAGTGATCATGGGCCTCTTGACTCCATCTCTGATCAGTCTTCTCCTTGTTTGAGATGAAAGTTTGGAGGGACGGCCGGGTCTTGGTAGATTTACAGTGGTCCGGCTTCAAACTTCTCCACAACAGTATCTCGGACCTGCCTGGTGTGTTCCTTTGTCTTCATGGTTCTCTCTGTGCTTTAAACAGAACCCTGAGACTATCAAAGAGCAGGTGCATTTATACGGAGACTTGATTACACACAGGTGCATTCTATTTATCATCATCAGTCATTTAGGACAACATTGGATCATTCAAAGATCCTCACTGAACTTCTGGAGTGAGTTTGCTGCACTGAAAGTAAAGGGGCCGAATAATATTGCACGCCCCACTTTTCAGTTTTTTATTTGTTAAAAAAGTTTAAATTATCCAATAAATTTTGTTCCACTTCACGATTGTGTCCCACTTGTTGTTGATTCATGACAAAAAATGTAAATTTTATATCTTTATGTTTGAAGCCTGAAATGTGGCGAATTGTTGGAAGGTTCAAGGGGGCCGAATACTTTCGCAACTGTATTTTGCATACATTTAATGCATTGTTTAGTTCTTCTATCTGTTGCCTGTAACTTGTTCCATTTATTGAAACTGTGGATATGCAATAATCAATGTTCCTGTTAATCGCTCTGACATGCCTTTCAAATTAACCATTCAGAGTACAAACACTTGTGCATCAGTAATATATAACAGCATTATGGATTGCATATTTTCTCAGTGACAGCAATATGTTTCTTGTTTAGCTGAAGCTCTACAAACGGATCCAATCTGACAGCCGCCTTAAATGTTGTCTCTTTGGGATGTCCTTTGAAGTGACAGACTTTGCTGTACGGTGCATCGTTGCTTGTTTGAGCGAAGGAGAGTTTCAAATTGTTATTGTTTTGCACTTGTTGATGATGTTAATAGTCATGTAACATGTTGTATTTAAGTCTAAGCAGATGTCCTTTGTGTCCTTTGTGTCCTTGCAGATGCCAGGTCCCTGGTCCAGCCCTGTGTGTCTGACAGTCATCTGGTTTTTATCCTGGTCTCTGGCTCCCAGTTGTGCTCAGAATGGAAACGATGAAGGTAACACATGTGCTTTGTTGACATTTGACATTTGTTTACTGTTTTATTTGTTTTATTTTTGTCTTTTAATGTTGTTTTATGTCTGTATTTGTCTGTGCACACTGGAGACTTTTACTAATGTATTCCAATGTGGTTTTTTTTACTGCAAATGGCAAATAAACTGAATCTGAATCTTGTCGACAAGAACCTCTATTGTAGTATATACAGTACAGTATAAGACTCTCCAATTAATTGTGATCAAATCAAAATTACAAGTTTTGTGATCTCAAATACCAATGACTGTTATTATTCTTTGCAAACAAAAAAGGGACTACCATTGGGACATTTCATCTTATTCATCTGCATAACTTCTGTCTGTCAACTGTCTGGGGCTTACTGACAGAAACGAGCCTACTAATCTGAGTTATTCTCCACTCAAACTGCCACAAATTGTTCACTTAGACACCAGACGCGTACTAGGCTGTGGGTGGTGTCTTGCCTGATGACAAAAAGGTCGTTCTGCAATTTACAGCCTCCCAGCTGTGGCACCTGATCTTCTCAGAGGTTTCCCATCAAGAGAACTAGAACTTACTTGGCCCTGCCATATGAGAGAACAAAACACCTTATAATTTTGTGGGGCTCCTTTACCTATTTATGAAAAAAATGGTATGAATCTAAATAAAATCCACTATCAACTATAATTTGCATTCAAGATCTCACTGCATGGTTAGCGTCACACATAGATCCCCTTGTGCTTTGAATTCACTCTTCCATATTCAGACTTATCTGCTTTCCAAGCTCTAAACGTGTCCAATGCTTCTGGATCTGGAAGCACTTCAGACTTTTTCCATTATTCATTCTTCGAAGCATCATAAAACACTGACTTATTCTTTCCAAGCAGAACGCCTATACTCTTGTTCAAACTTGTCATTGTTAAGTTTTTTTAGCCCTCAAGTTCTGCATTTGCTCACAAGCCAAGACTTAAGTGCTAGGGGACCTCTTAAGTTAGTAAAAAAAGCAATCTGCTCCATTTGACGTCCATATTTTCTCACTTGCTAAATTACAATATGGCTCTATGACTTCCCTGCAGGGAAGTCTATCAAGAGTTTTCCATCACCATTGACTCCATGGTCTTTTTTTGCTCTTTTTTACATTGTTTGTAAAGTGCAGAGTTTCGTCTAGCTTGCAGTTCCAACCTTAAAGCTTCAGCGTCAGGAGAAATGTAGAGTTTCACATGTGATTTAGCATTAGCATGTGCGCACTATTTATTTACTATGTGTGTGCGAAGCTGCGTGTGTAACTGAAGAGGCCCCAAGCCATAACCAGATATGTGTGGAACGTTGCGGGTTTTTGGGCTGTATTATGTTCTTCATTGCCAATAAAACATGAATACACACATTCAGGCTGGCCAATTTTTGAACAGTGGAAGGGGCTGCACCATTGGGGCAGAGAAAGATTATATGCACAATGTTGAGTTATTGTTTGTGTATAATGTAATGTTCTGCAGATGTTTTGAGATACGGGGGAAAATGTGCACCAAAGCAACCATTTTCTCTTTGAGTCGTAAACCCTTTCCTTTTTGCAATAGTGATGCTGTTTCAACCACAGTTGAACCTGATGAAATCTCACACAACAAAGATCTTTTACTTGTTACATTGTACAAGGAGAATGTCTTGACAGAGGCAAGGCGCAGACCCTAGCCTCTCTCAGGACAAGTCTGAAGATTCACAGTCTGCAAGCCCCTTTTGGTAGAACAAGACACACCTTCGTATGCAGATGGGAAAGGAAGAAACCAACACAACAAAAGACACTTAGCATATGAGCTCCCCAGACCTCCCGGTGTCTTCCTGAAGCTAAAGTGAATTACAATACAGAGCATTCAGCACATAGCCACATACGATTTACCAAAATGATAACTTGAGTTACATTCCAATATCAAATAGTTAGACATAACAGACAAGAACAATACACAATAGAATACAGGAAACTAATTATGTTTTAAACTGTTAAGCAATTTCTCACTTTGAATGAGAGAGAACAAAAATAATCTTCTGCAGTTGAAGACTATGGTTTCTTCTTCGTATTGAAAATACTGTTTTTTATATGAAGTCAACTTATTTAGATAAAGGCTACATATTTTTTGGTGCCAACATGTTAAACGTACTATTGATGAAGCAATATAAACATTTACATAGTAAATTATAGAGACAAAGTGTTAAAATATTGTGTACGCGTCATTTTTGATGGATTTTATAATAATACATATAATACAAAAATACATAATACAAATAAATACAAATACTTTTAAGGCCTCCAAAACTTAAAATTTGACACCTGGCTTTACATTTTTTTTATGCCTGTGTTTTGAAGTGTTGTGGATTTGCCTCAAACTTCTCATGCTGTGAAACTAAATTAGTTTTATGGTGGCATTACATTTTCCCTAAAGGTCTTAAATTTGACTTGACCAAACCTCCAGCTACCCTTTTAATTACATCATTAGATAATATTGCTTTGGCTTTTCCATTAATGCATATCTTCTGCCATTTTATTATTTATTTTTATTCTTCTAATTACAAGTTGGATCGCCATTCCATTGGCTCCACACTCGTACCAAAATTACACCACGCATGACAAATGATTTAATAAAATTAATGACCACTGAAACCCTCAGTCACAAACAGTTGGAACTTCTTTCCAGGTGCACAACATATTGGTTTCTTCGATTAAAACCACAGCACAGTCTCTGACACAGGGTTCCAGCTCGCCTGGAGTCCAAAAGGCAACGTGTGGATGTTGTTTAAAGCCAAGTATTGAAATTCTCTTTCCAAAGGTCCCTCAGTGTGAAATTTGATTAAGGATTACTTTAGTTGGTCTCCGGGGGCAAATGAGGTTATTGCAACAGAAAATCTAAAATAAGGTAATCAGGTTATTACATTCTCATTTCCTCATCCGCCGACTTCACGTGTTAAGAGTTTTTTGTATTAACGTTGAAGTTCCTCACTTTTTTGGTTTCATAATTACATTTTGTTTGAACAGAAAGAGTTGTGAGATTTTGTGAACAAATCAACCACAACATGCTGTATTCATCTTATCCTTTACATACAAAGAGCTGATTGGCTAAGAGAAAGCTGGTACAGAACCTATGAAAACTAGTCATAGAGCTAAACTGTTTGAGAGCTAGAGAATAGCAAGGGATTTCATCATAGTAATTTATTTGGAGTGTCAAAGTTAGGTTCCCCAGCTTTAAAAGTTGAGCTGATTTCATTCTGAGTTGCTCAGGGCACATGTCTGCATGATTGTGAATTAATGAAGGAGGTGTGTGCGTGGCAGGCTGGCAGGGAGGCTCATGTTTTTCCACTCGAAGTCTACTGCAAATGCCAGCCTGAACAACAGCGGAGCCAAGCAAAACACACATACTCAGGCCGGCACACTCGGACCGGCCAGATAAAGTATCAACTCGGCAAATTAGCCCAAACCGCAAATATTTACTTTGGTTCTGCTTCCAATCCACATTATTTAATTCTGGGCCATAAGGTCATTCTCATTCAAGATGGCGCCTCGTACGGTCGACATGGCTCTTTGCTGCTCTCTTTTTCTTTTGTTTTTACTTTTTAACTGTGCATCTGGCTGTTCCTACACCCGTGAGGAACTTATGAACATCCGACCCACCGTTCCCATGGACCTATTGCCTGTTTTCTTGGCATCTGCGGCTGATTTAGTTCATGTTCTAGCCAAAAAAGTGTGGGCCCGTAAAAGGGGAAAGCGAGGAGGCCTGCTCGTGCGTCTTAGGAGGAGAGGAGCGCGCACGGCTCTCCCCGGCATTTTTCTCTCCAACGTACGCTCACTGGGCAATAAGATGGACGAACTCAGCCTGCTCATGAGAAGAAACAAGGACTTCGCCACATCCTGTGTCCTCTGCTTCACTGAGACCTGGCTAAATGAGCGGATCCCGGACTGCGCTCTGGAGCTGCAGGGCTTTGGGCTGTTTCGCGCGGATCGCCATTGTGCGCTCTCAGGGAAGAGCAGAGGCGGAGGGCTCTGTTTCTACGTCAATACAAACTGGTGTAACGATGTGACAGTGATCTCCAAGCACTGCTCTCCTGCTCTGGAATATCTTTTCATTCATTGTAAACCATATTACTCCCCGCGGGAAATTGTTTCATTCATTCTTGCCTCTGTTTACATACCGCCATGCGCGGACGCGCGCGAGGCTCAGCGCGCACTCGCAGAGCAAGTACTGTGTATGGAACGCTTATACCCGGACTCTCTGATTATTATCCTGGGGGATTTTAATAAGGGAAACTTGAGCCAGGAATTACCCAAATACAGACAGTTTATCAAATGCCCGACCAGAGAGGAGAACACTCTGGATCACTGTTACACCACCGTGCGCGGAGCTTTTCGCGCTGTTCCCAAGCCAGCCCTCGGCTTCTCAGATCACTCCATGATACATCTGGTTCCTGCTTACAGACAGAGACTAAAGCTCTCGAAACCTGCAGTGAGGAGCTCCAAAGTGTGGTCTGATGAAGCTGTGGAAGAGCTACGCGCATGCATGGAATCTACAGACTGGGACCTTTTCAGAGCTGCCACAGACAGCTTGGATGAATATACGGACACTGTGACGTCATACATCCACTTCTGTGAGGATAGCATCATTCCAACAAGGATCAGGGTCATCTATAACAACGACAAACCCTGGTTCACTGCTAAACTCCGGCAGCTCAGGAAAGCAAAGGAGTCTGCTTTCAGGGAGGGGGACCGCAGCGGCTACAAAGCAGCTAAATATCAGTTCAGGAAAGAACTGAAAGCAGCCAAGTCCCGGCACAGAGAACGACTACAGGAGCAGTTTGGTAACAACGATACTGCTTCTGTCTGGAGGGGCCTACGGGAGATCACCAACTACAAACCCAAAGCCCCCCCCTGTGCTGATGACCACAAGCTAGCTGACGATCTGAACTTATTTTTCAGTCGCTTTGATGCTGCCCCTGACACCTCTCCCTCCCCCACCCCCCACTACTCTAACGACCCACCCATCAGCCCTGCCCCCAGCCTAACAATAGCCGCTAAAGAGATTAAACAACTCTTCCTGAGGCTGCACCCCCGCAAAGCTCCTGGCCCGGACCACGTGTCTCCGGCCACTCTGAGACACTGCGCCAGTGAGCTTACTCCTGTGTTCACGGACATTTTCAACTCCTCTCTGCAGTCCTGCCATGTCCCGGCCTGCTTCAAATCCTCCATCATTGTCCCCGTCCCGAAGAAGCCCAGGATCACAGGACTCAATGACTACAGACCTGTAGCACTTACGTCTGTCGTCATGAAGTCATTTGAACGCCTGGTTCTCTCCCATCTCAAGTCCCTCACCTCCCCCCTCCTGGACCCCCTGCAGTTCGCCTACAGAGCCAACAGATCTGTAGACGACGCCATTAACCTGGCCCTCCACCACATCCTACAGCACCTGGACTCCCCGGGGACCTACGCCAGGGTCCTGTTCGTGGACTTCAGCTCTGCCTTCAACACAATCCTGCCATCCCTGCTCCAGGACAAGCTCTCCCAGCTCAACGTGCCCGATTCCACCTGCAGGTGGATCACTGACTTCCTGACGGACAGGAAGCAGCGAGTGCGTCTGGGGAAGAATGTCTCGGACTCTCGGATTATAAATACAGGAGCCCCACAGGGCTGTGTTCTTTCTCCCCTGCTCTTCTCCCTGTACACCAACCACTGCACCTCCAGCCACGACTCCGTGAAGCTGATCAAGTTCGCGGACGACACCACCCTCATTGGACTCATCTCCAACAACGATGAGTCCGCCTACAGGAGGGAGGTGGACCGGCTGGTGTCCTGGTGCAGTGGTAACAACCTGGAGCTGAACGCCCAGAAGACAGTGGAGATGATTGTGGACTTCAGGAAGAGCACTGTCCCCCCGCCCCCACCCTCCGTGATGGACTCCCCCATCACCTCTGTGGAGTCCTTCCGTTTCCTGGGCACCACCATCACCCAGGACCTCAAGTGGGAGCCGACCATCAGCTCCCTCATCAAGAAGGCCCAGCAGAGGATGTACTTCCTGCGGCAGCTCAGGAAAGCCAAGCTGCCTGCACAGATGTTGGTGCAGTTCTACACGGCCATCATCGAGTCCATCCTCACCTCCTCCATCACCGTGTGGTTCGCTGGAGCCACAGTCAGGGACAAACAGAGACTACAGCGCATTGTGCGCTCTGCAGAGGAAGTGATCGGCCGCAGCCTTCCATCGCTGCAGGACCTGTACGTCGCCCGAGCTCGAGGCCGGGCTGGTCGTATCACAGCCGACCCCTCTCACCCTGCACATGGACTATTCCAACCACTCCCCTCAGGCAGGAGGCTGCGGTCCATCAGGACTAGAACCTCCCGCCACAAGAACAGTTTCTTCCCCTCTGCTGTTGGACTCTTGAACACTTCTTAACCTGTCCCCCCGCCCTTTATAAAGTCACTTTACTGCCCATCATACGTCACTTTACTTCACTGTACTGCTGTCACCTTACATTGTGTGCACCATGTGCACTTGTATATTGTAAATAGTAACTGTAACTCTATTTTAAATTTAAATTTATTCTTTAGAAGTGTTTTTTATTCTTATTTTTATTATCTCTTTTTGACTGTTGCACTGAGCCAAAGCAATTTCCAAGTCTGTGACCTCCCGTTACTTACGTTGGCAATAAAAATGATTCTGATTCTGATTCTGATTCTGATTGTGTCATTGGTCACGGTACCAGGAGAGCAAGGAATAGTAACCTTATTTAACCTGTTGTGTGCATGCACTCTGCAGAGCTGCTTATGGGACGCTGCTGTTGTAAAGCATTGTGCATTGTTCTCCATGGAGCCACCAAGTCTGCCCTCTTTAAACCTGGCTTCTACACACTTCCCTCGTCCTGTGTACTGTTTGTTTCTGTAGACCCTGTGCATCAGCTGTAGACATATACACTAGGTGAAGACATTTATGCACACTCTCATTTCTTTTAGATGTATTTGAACTAAAAGAATACAAATATATTATTGATCCCAAATCCCATCAGTTAATACTTTATCAGCCGTCCGTCAATTTTTATCTCCTTAATCCATTGCTGCATTGCGGGGGCAGTGGTCTACTATCCCTATCCACCCACACTTCCTCCAGCTCATCTGAGGGAATTTTGAGGCGTTCCCAGGCCCGCTGAGAGATAGTCCTGCAAAATGATTTTTCCCTGGGGCCTCCTCTGCCTCGGACATGTCTAGAACACCTCCCCATCAATAATCATCAAACAAAACGTATTTAGACCTGTTTTACACGCCATTATTCTCCATATGATGATGATGGCGCTGACTCCCATGTTATGCTAATGAGCTTTCTCAGAGACCTTCATTAACACGGACCTAGATTTTTGTCTGTTACTAAAAGGAAATCTTAATAGATACAATGTTGGCTTTATACCAACATTTTTTTTACATGTCCAATAACTTTTACCTATATGAGTTTATGATAATGCACTCAGCAAGAGCGAGTGATGGGAGAGGGTCAGAGAATGTATGGACCAGTGTCTTGTCTGAGTCTGTGTATGTGTGTGTTTTATGTTGTGTTGTTACGAGTGAGATGGTTTGGAGCCAAATAAGCGTCCTTTTTCAAATTGTGTTTTTGTTTATATTGTATCCTGTTTGTATGTGTTTGATTTGACTGATACATTGTCAGAACAAGCGCCTCCATCCAAGTCCGTTCTATCACTTCTACAGAGTCTTTCCAGGCTTCAACGGGCACAGTCAAACATCTACAAAGCATAGAGAGGTTGTCAAATTCTTAGTAGTAGCAAAGTAGTGTTCAATACGTTTGCCCATGGAATAAGGCCACTGTTTGGATTTCCAGCTTTCAATATTATTACTAAGAAAACATTTAATGGTTCATAATAATGTAATAAACTTCCTGAAAAATAAACCATACTACATTCAAATGGCTTTCCTCTCGTAGCCAAAGCCATCCAGCTCATAGTCCAGGCCTTGTATGGTCATGTTATTTTCACACTGTTGATACTATTGTAAATGGTGCTGTTTAAATCACCTTAATGTTGACTCAGAGACATGGGGTATGTTTGATTGAGCAGGAGTTCCACAATCTCAACATTGTTTTTCTACGTGTTTGCAGTGTCGGGTCTGCAGTATGGCCACTTGAAATCCAATGTGACTCTGGAATGTGGGAAGTCACCTATCAGGTATGTTACTACATTAGTGGGATTCAGAAATGCCTGAGTTGTTCCTGTCATAGATTCCCTGGTTTTAATCACACACTGTTCTGGTTTATGCCTTTGTTCTAGGGGTGCAACGGTTTGAAAAAATCACGGTTCGGTTCGTACCTCGGTTCAGAGGCCACGGTTCGGTTCATTTTTCGGTTCATTTTTCTTTTTGAATAAACCCAGCTCATGTGGACTCGGCACCTGCTCTGACTGCCCCCCTCACCTAGAAATGAATTAAGGTGAAGGAAATGGATGGATGGGTGGATGGAAGGCATATTCCATCCATCCAATTATGTCTATTTAACATAATTAATGAAAAACAACACAAAGTGCAACATAAGAAGGCACTTTATGAGGATATTTACCCTCATATATTACACCACCTTCCTGATTCTCCCAAGGAGGGGGTCCATTCTGGGCCCAGCCTCATTCACTGCATTTATTTAATTTTTGGCATTATCAGTTGTGACTGGAATATTAGTACTGGGCCTTTGTCTTCCATTCCTCCGCTGCTTGTGTCAGTACCTTCGCTGTGTGACTGTGTGACTGTCGTAGAGGGGGCGTGTCTGCAGCGCCAGACTTTTCATCTCCCAGTCTGCGGTGATGAAGTGAGCGGTTCCGCTCATGGATCTATTATAGGTTCCGCGGGACGTCCAAACGTCAGTCGTGAACGCAGCTGAGGATGCGCGGGAGAGTTGACTTTAGCCCGGTCTGACTGTGCGTAAAGGAGCTGCTTAAATTCCGCGACAATAAGCGGTCGTTGAGACGCTTTTTTCACTCATGTCTTTCTTGTGCCACAGTGCTTACACACTGACAGTTTTGTCGAATATGAATCATCAGTGTAGTTACAGTGAAGCCAAAATGCTCTCATACTGGGGATTTAAATGACGCGGGGCTTTCAAGCATCTCCGTTCCTCCGCTCGCAATGACCGCGCTGTGTGTGGACTGAACAACGTGCGCACAACTTTTTATTCATAAATCAAACCGCGGATCACGTCTGTACCGAACCGAAGACGTTGAACCGAACGGATCACGGATCAGTGATGAACCGTTGCACCTCTACTTTGTTCCATTGTATCAACAACTGTAGATGAAATATATTCCATTTTGAATGGCCATTTCTAGGCAGAACACAAAAAATTAAATGCAAAAAAAAAGCTCAGCGTCTTTGCAATTGTAGATATTACAATGTTTTACTTTCAGTGCTCATTTACTGTGCTGTGTTATGAGCTGTAGCTACAACTCCTCAATCAATAATAAGGACAGACAAGATGCAACATAATAGCACTGAGTTTGTTTTCAAATTATAGCTGTCCCACCCATGGGCACAGGGGGCGCCGGTGGTACCACAGACTAAATTCACGTGGGCTACGCAGAAAAAGTCCCATAGATCTCAATGTAAATTAAAACAGCTCGACCTCAGCTGACAGAGAGCCTACAGCTTTCATAAAGATCAGCTTTTGTGGGGATTTTAGTGTCCCTTGTCATCCTGAACTTTTTTTCTCCTTAGATCCTTCGATTGTCTTTAAATCCACACTTTATTGCCACAAACTCTGCTGTTTTCCTTCCCGCTCTGACTCCGCTCTACAGCTGCTCTGATCAGCAGCTCTGATTGGTCAGAGCGCGGAAGAAGCCAGACGATGCCTAAATATAGGCGAGTTCCGCTAATCTTTCGGTCTCCGTGAAGTCCCATGCGCTACTGAGCACAACCTCAGTAACTTTGCCTAATAGTGGCTTTTCCCTGTGCTCTTATAATTCGCCTGGTGGCCTTGTCTTAGTAGTATCTGGTTTACGTGGTTATATACCAGTGTAAATGGAGTACAAAGAGACTGGATGTGGATAAGTCAGAGCAGAGATCAAACCTCGAACCAACAAGATCTGTCCTTCTTAAAACATAGAATTGACTCAAAGCCTCATTGCCAACAATGGTTTTTATACATTTAGTGAGAAAGTAGAAATGTCTTCATTTGACATTATGGTTTTAAAAACAGACAGGGGATGTGTTTTAGATAATAATTGTTTTGAAACAGAATGACCTGATGTTTGTTTTTGAAAGAATGATCAAAGCCCTGTGGTTAAGTGAGTGCAACCTAATTGTTGACATCCCATTCTTCGGCAGGACGCCCGTGGTGTGGCATCTTAACCACAGCTCCGAGTTGCCATGGCACCAGGTGACCTCTGATGGCAGCCTCATCCTCCTGCAGACGGACCTCTCAGCCCAGGGCGACTACAGCTGCTACGACCACCAGGGCCTTCTCCTGCACTCAGTCAGGCTCCGTTTGGGATGTACGTTTGAACATACTTTTGATGTTGCTGGAGTTCTGAAAGCAAAAGGCCCTTACGCCAGTATGTTGCTCCGTAAATGTAAATGTAACATTCATGTTACATTTTAAAATTGAATTGTGGTCCAGTGTGAATGAACTTGGTTGTTACATGGAGAAAACACTACACTTCCTCCCACTGTTCCTACAGGAAATGGGCTTCCGTTTTGGGGACAGGCCACTATCGCATAAAGATAGGAATGGAAAGAGATTTTTCCATCATACATGGCATTCCACAGAATATTGTGTGGGGGATAATTTTATATTTCAAATGTTTTATGTCAAAACCTGTACAGCAAAATTGTATTGATCAAAATAACAGTTTTGAAAAAGTGTTGGGTGAAAAATGCGTATACCCTATTTATATAATTGTCAAATGTTACGCAGGTTTTAATGTAAATTGAACAAGGCAGAATTCCTCCACATTCATAATCGCAGCAGAATTAATACAGTACAATTCAAACTGGGCCATGTTGAATAAGAAACATTAGAAGGGGTCACGTTGATGGATCGGTGCATCTCTAATCGCTATCAACGTTTTTTCAGTTCTGACTCGTAGACCGTAGAAGGAGCAGACTAATCGAGTGCTGACATCACCCTTTGTGTTTCCCTCATTGCAAGCAGCAGCCAAGTGTGTGGTCAGAAGGCACTTGATTAGTCAGTTGTTAAGGGTTATATCTGGAATTACAAAGACATTATGCAAATATAAACACCAGAATCAGGTAGAGCGAAAAACCACAGATTTTTAAGCCCAAAATAGTGAGTGTGACACAAACGATTACAGAGTATATGAGAAGTTTACTTAAGTTGAGGGGCAAAACTTCGCCCCTGATCACTTTTCTATTAGTGGGTTAGCATTTTTCATTTCTATATCCAGTCTTTGCTTCTGACATTGAAGGTGAGAGGTGAGAATGAGGTTTGTGTAAATGCTACTCCCCAATGAATATTTTCAATCTAAACAATTATACTATTTGACAAAAATATGTTTTGTGCCATGTGCATGTCAGTTTATAAATCCAAGTTTAAATACTATGACACTTTTTGGGTTTTGTCAGAGTAAAACATTATATTGATAATTGATTCAATCTGATTGTACACACTTTATGATCAAGACATGTCCACAACTAAGACATGGACACTGCTCAAATTGAGAGTTAACTAGCCAACCTTTATCCTACTAAAAATGTGCACTGTCGCTGTTTCTTTAACCCTGTAACCTTTTGCTGGCTTCTGTTTTCTAGATCCTCCAGGCCCGCTGAGTATTTCCTGTAGAGTGCCCAGTCATGTGCACGTCCGCTGCTCTTGGGCCGATTCTGCAGACACATACCTACCGGGCAAATACACTGCCTCCTATGGGTAAAGCTTCAATCATAAACAAAAAATTATCAATAACTACAGTCTGCCGCAGTGATAGATGAGGCTTTGGTTCCCTATAGTCTAACATCTGCCACTGTTATCTTATTGGGAGCACCAACAGCATGACCTTTCCTACTTTTGTCAGTAGTAAAAACCAAGACGAGGACCGGTGGAGGCCTTGTGTGGTGGATGCCTCGGGGAAGCACTGTGACATCGATCTGCCCGGCTACTGGGAGGTCCTCCACGTCTTCAGAGTCACAGAGACCAACGCCCTGGGTTCAAATACCACGCTGACTTCGATCAAGTTCAATAATCTATGTAGAGTATTTACTATCAAATCTACTACTGTCAGACATTATTATATGAAATTGACAACTCCAGGGGAAAAATATGTATGTATTGTTTGTTAAATAAACTGATTAAGCTGTTACAACAATTACAGAATTGTGAGGGCATTGGTTTGGACATCCATCTCCGCATAAGTACTTTTTTAAATCATGTCATTGAAATTGTGTAATCTTACTTTTAGCTTTGTAAGTAAGACGTAGCATACAATTCCAGTGGATCTTCCAAGGTACAGTACTGGTCTCTTAAGGAGCACAAACATCCTTCCCTCACTCATGAAAGAGACCCTCTCCCATCGAACTGCCACCTTACCGTGGTGGGGGAGTTTGTGCACCTGAATGATCCAAGGAGCTATGTTGCCTGGGGCATTACGCCCCTGGTAGGGTCTCCCATGGCAAACAGGTTCTAGGTGACAGGTCAGACTAAGAGCAGTTCATATTGTCAAATATCTCCTACGTTTAGTCCTTGTTTGGTATAATTTTGAAATGGTAAGATTCACATTCTTGACACTCTTCAGTTCCACAGAATGACGTCATTGGTGTGTTGTGTCCTACAGTAAAACCTGACCCTCCAGAGTCCGTGGTGGTGAAGACCGTGGAGGGACATTCCACTCGACTGCAGGTCTACTGGAGCCCTCCGTCCTCTTGGCCTCAGGCGATAGCGTTCCCCCTCACTTTCCACATCAGATACAAGCCTCAGGGATCTTCATACTGGTCTGAGGTATGGAAAAAATTGCACACAAATAAAGTTATATATACCATGCAATTGGAATGTTATTTGATTTTCCACATTGCCACTTTACGGAATCGTATCATCATAATTGGTTGGTGAACCATTTTACCTTTATTTAACCACTTTAGTTCTTCTGAAATTTTAGGTTCAGAAATGATCATCTAATGTCTGGACTATAGCGCTGCAGAATCAGTAAATTTCTCCTCACTCTTGGCTCCTGCTCCATAACAGCTCATCAAATGCTGTCAGCACCTCCTTAGTTTCCCTTTTCGTCTGACCCCACATTTAAGCCAAAAACAGCACATTTCTGTTGATGAAGTGTTCCTCCACAGTTGAAGTTCACTGCTGTTTGTGTCCTTAGCTTTTTACCGAGGACAACATGTTGACCATATACGACGCACTGGCAGGCCACGTCCACCAGGTGGAGGTGCGAGCGAGGGATGCGATCGATGAGGGGACTCAGTGGAGCGACTGGAGCAGCCCGGCCTTTGGACAGCCCTGGGAAGGTCAGTGAAGTTACCTCCATAAAAGGCAATGCATGACTCACTGTTGTGACGGCCTACGGGCCTAATGGTAGTGCAGAGTACCCGGCCTTCTTGGAGTCCTTGGGAGGGGTACTGGACAGTGCACCGCCCGGGGACTCCGTTATTCTCCTGGGGGACTTCAACGCCCATGTGGGAAATGCCAGTGACACTTGGAGAGGGGTGATCGGGAAGAGCGGCCCCCCTGATCTGAACCCGAGCGGTGTTCAGTTGTTGGACTTCTGTGCCAGTCACGGCCTGTCCATCACGAACACCATGTTCGAGCACAAGGGTGTCCACCAGTGCACGTGGCACCAGGACACCCTAGGCCGGAGGTCGATGATCGACTTTGTTGTCGTATCATCTGACCTTCGACCGCGTGTCTCGGACACTCGGGTAAAGAGAGGGGCGGAGCTGTCAACCGATCATCCCCTGGTCGTGAGTTGGATCCGCTGGCAGGGGAAGAAGCCGGTCAGACCTGGCAGACCCAAGCGTATAGTAAGGGTTTGCTGGGAACGTCTCGCGGAGCCCCCTGTCAGACGGACTTTCAACTCACACCTCCGGGAGAGCTTCTCCCAGGTCCCGGCGGAGGAGGGGGACATCGAGTCCGAGTGGACCATGTTCTCTTCCTCTATCGCCAATGCGGCGGCTCGTAGCTGTGGTCGCAAGGTCTCTGGTGCTGGTCCCGGCGGCAATCCCCGAACCCGGTGGTGGACACCGGCAGTAAGGGATGCCGTCAGGCTGAAGAAGGAGTCCTATCGAGCAATGATGGTTCGTGGGACTCCTGAGGCAGCTGTCCAGTACCGGCAGGCCAAACGTGCTGCGGCCCGGGCTGTTGCAGAGGCAAAAACCCGGGACTGGGAGGAGTTCGGAGAGTCCATGGAGCATGACTATCGGTCGGCCTCAAAGAGGTTCTGGCAAACCGTCCGGCGCCTCAGGAGGGGGAAGCAGTTCTTTGCCAACACCGTGTATGGTGCGGGTGGAGGGCTGCTGACCTCGACTGAGGATATTGTCGGGCGGTGGAAGGAATACTTCGAGGTTCTCCTCAATCCCCCCGTCACGTCCTCCGTTCAGGAGGCAGAGGCTGAGGATGTTGGGGCGGACACTTCCATCTCCCTGGCCGAGGTTACCAAGGTGGTTGGCAGCCTCCATGGTGGCAAGGCGCCGGGAGTGGATGAGATCCGTCCTGACTATCTAAAGTCTCTGGATGTTGTAGGACTGTCTTGGCTGACACGTCTCTGCAGCATCGCGTGGCGATCGGGGGCGGTGCCAATGGAGTGGCAGACCGGGGTGGTGGTCCCTCTCTACAAGAAGGGGGACCGGAGGGTGTGTTCCAATTATCGTGGGATCACACTCCTCAGCCTCCCCGGTAAGGTCTACTCCAAGGTACTGGAGAGGAGGCTACGTCCGATGATCGAATCTCGGATTCAGGAGGAGCAGTGTGGTTTTCGTCCCGGTCGCGGAACACTGGACCAGCTCTATACTCTCCATCGGATACTCGAGGGTTCATGGGAGTTCGCCCAACCTGTCCACATGTGCTTTGTGGATTTGGAGAAGGCGTTCGACCGTGTTCCCCGGGGTGTCCTTTGGGGGGTCCTCCGGGAGTACGGGGTCCGGGGTCCTCTGCTGAGGGCCGTCTGGTCCCTGTATGACCGGAGCCAGAGCTGTGTTCGCATTGCCGGCAGTAAGTCAGACCTGTTCCCGGTGCATGTTGGCCTCCGCCAAGGCTGCCCTTTTTCACCGGTTCTGTTCACTGTATTTATGGACAGAATTTCTAGGCGCAGCCAGGGGCCGGAGGGGGTCCGGTTCGGGAACCACAGGATTTCATCTCTACTTTTTGCGGATGATGTCGTCCTGTTGGCTCCAACGAACCAGGACCTGCAGCATGCACTGGGACGGTTTGCAGCCGAGTGCGAAGCGGCTGGGATGAGAATCAGCACCTCCAAATCCGAGGCCATGGTGGTCGAAAAGGCCGGAAAAAGGTGCCTTGCCCTCTCCGGGTGGGTGGAGAGGTCCTTCCTCAAGTGGAGGAGTTCAAGTATCTCGGGGTCTTGTTCACGAGTGAGGGAAGAATGGAGCGTGAGATTGACAGGCGGATCGGTGCAGCGTGCGCAGTGATGCAGTCTCTGTATCGGACCGTTGTGGTAAAGAGGGAGCTGAGCCGAAAGGCGAAGCTCTCGATTTACCGGTCAATCTTCGTTCCCTCCCTCACCTATGGTCATGAGCTTTGGGTAATGACCGAAAGAACGAGATCGCGGATACAAGCGGTCGAAATGAGCTTCCTCCGCAGAGTGGCTGGGCGCTCCCTTAGAGATAGGGTGAGGAGCTCAGTCACACGGGAGGAGCTCGGAGTAGAGCCCCTGCTTCTCCACGTCGAGAGGAACCAGTTGAGGTGGCTCGGGCATCTGTTCAGGATGCCTCCTGGACGCCTTCCTGGGGAGGTGTTCCGGGCACGTCCCACCGGAAGGAGGCCCCGGGGAAGACCCAGGACACGCTGGAGAGACTATGTCTCTCAGCTGGCCTGGGAACGCCTTGGGGTCCTCCCGGACGAGCTGGAGGAGGTGTGTGTGGATAGGGAAGTCTGGGCGTCTCTGCTTAGACTGCTGCCCCCGCGACCCGGCAACGGATAAAGCGGAAGAAAATGGATGGATGGATGACTTGTTTCCTGCATGTCCCCATCCAGAAAATGTATCACTCGTCTCCAATTCCTTGAATACAAACTTTTAAATTGCGTTAGTAGTGTATGTACTGCCCTACTTTTCAGAGCCTTAAATTGAGTAAACTAAACATAGTTAATCTAAACATACAAAATCAAATGGCACGGTGTCACAGACTACCTCTATTCAAGCTGCCTTTTACTCCTCGTCATATATATGTATATTTCATCAAATTTTTCGTTTCATTTTTTGTTGTTTGTTCATTCAGTCATTCCAGTTTAAATCAAAACATCTATTATCTAGTTTTGCTCATGATTCCTGTGGTTCCTAATGTCACAGATGAGTCGAGGCTTGAACCTACAGAGGAGGTTCTTCCAGAAGACGTCTTTCCAAGTGAAATGTTTCCCATTTTCACAAAGCCTGAAACCTCAACAGCTCGGTCACACAGTAAGTGAAGTTCCCATTACCTCCTTAGCATGTGGCGGATGAAAAAGTAAATTCATAATTTCAAAACCTAGGATGTGATTGGGCGATGCCCCGTAGCTTCCTCTGCAACACAGCAAACCCAGTGAACATGAAGGAGTTCACATTCACATTCACCTCACAATAGAGATCATATTAGCACATTTGGTTAATCAGCTTTTCATTAATTGAGAGCCTTGAATTCCAGATCTCTTGAGTCTCTTAACCCTCTAGGCGCCACGGTCGACTGAAGTCGACAAGCTGCGCTACTGTTAAAAACGGCCGAGTGTGTCCAACTGAGTGTCAAAATTCATTCATACTCCCTGCCACTAGTTGGCAGACATGTCAGACTACCTCCCTGGCCCCAAATAACGTCATGCTCCCATACAAAATATTCGAGCAAGACCGCGTTGAACCAGTGCGGAAAACATAGTGAAGCGATGCAACTGCGAGGGCAGCCTGCGAGTGTTATAGCGCACCAAACACTAACTTTAGACACTTTGCACAGAGTCAGCAGTGGGAACAGTGTTTCTCAGAGTAAGGCCAAGTCATTGGGAGGTTTGGAGACAGGTTAGATTTGCGGAAAACAAGCCTGGAACTCGCGTCGGGCGCCGCGCCGCGACCTTGCGCCTCCACTGAAGTTTCTGCTAAAGTCTCCGCTAAAAGTGCTTCCCACATATTTATTTTCATGCCTCCCGTAATCACCGGGACAGTAACGTGTTGGAGAGGCCTTGTCTTGTGTGTGTTAGACGAGAGAGATCAGGGGAGATGAGAGAGAGAGCGGGGGAGACAGCTGCAGCAGGAGGGTCGCGGTGACGCGCTTCACCCGGAGGCGGGCGTCTGGGCAGACTACTCACAGCAGCACCATGATTTGTATTTTTTACTATTTTCATGAACATTTACAATGTTACAGTGTGTGTTCTGTGTGTGTTCATGTCCTAGTGATCAATATATGTCTGTCAGTTAGAAAAATACAAATATTGTATGAAAATTCTAAAATCCACTATTTCTAACGCCAAATGACGTCATAATATGCAAATTAGATGGGATTATTTATTCCCTACATAAACTTTGGACCATCCTTAATATTTTTCTAATTTACAGAAAGCCTTTATCTCTTATCACTTTTAAGTTATAGCCTTTTGAAATTAAGTTGTCAAAATTGAGCGTTTTGGAAAAAAACCTCTGGCTCTTTAACGGTTAAGACTTCCAGGGTGATGGCTTGCAGAGCATTTGAGAATAAATTTCCAATTACCTTGTATATATAAAAAGCAAAAAAGAAAAGGTATGAGGCACTTTGACTTTACCAGCAAAAACTCTGCAGAGCTCCTTTTAGGTTTTTCAGGCACATAGATATTTGAGCTTCCAAACATTCTCCCCTTACTCTCCATCCCACCTTCAGCCTAGCATCAATTAGCGCACTCTGCAGCACTCTTTATCACTTTATGGAGCTAAGGTGCCTTTGATGCACACACTCCTTCCTAAATGCTGTTTACTGTTATTAAAACCTGAATAGAGCTGTGCAGGTCGCTTGCAGCTAAATTACACATAATTGCAGTAAATTGCTGCCGCTGGGGATTGTGCGTTTTATTGTTTCTGCTGCAGATGAAAAGTTAAGTACAGATCTGCTGACTAAATGGATGAGCAAAAGTGAGATAAAAACATGTTTTCACAATAGCAAATGTGCAAATATTGTTGCCCCAATCCAAAACTAAAGGTGCAAACTGGATGTCTGTCTTTGTACAGGAGAGGTCTGGTAAGCTTCTAGTCCTGAGCTGTATGTTGGAGACCTGATGTTCAGGTCTCCAATCAGGTCCAGATCCACCTACTGGCAGCAGGGATGATAAACCATGAAAGGAACACATGCAGTTTAAATAAGTTATTATTATTATTATTTTTATTTTTTTGCCCTTGCTTACTGGGATGAGCATGAATCAAGGTCAATAGAGCCCTTGGTATGTTTTGCTTTTTTAATAAGAAAACACGCATTACAACCAGGAGCTCAAAACAAGTTTGTGTTGCGCACTTTGTCTTTAAGCATTTTCCAAAGTAGCTCTTGGTTTGGGACCACGCGTGTTGACCATATTTGTCCACTTCTAAACCCAACATTCATTTGGAGTTAGATTTGTGCCTCGCTCGGGTAAAGATGGTGTGGGCCAGATGTTGTCTTCTTAGCGGGTGGGATCCACAAAAAACACTCTCATCTGAAAATGATGTGTTTCAGTCTCTGAAACGTCCTCCCTGTCAGTGTGTGAACCAGTCGTGTTTACGCCTCAGAGAATGAAAAATATGTGTTTGTGTAAAACCCATAATGATAGATTTCAAATTAACTTGTCGCCAGCAAGTAATTAGACACAGAACTCACACAGAGGAAGATCTCTTCAAAGCATTTTTGTCCAGATTCAGATGCAGATGATGAGTCAAATGTGTGGAAGATAAAGACTGAAAATGTGGTTTGTTGGTAATGAACGACATGTCACCACCTGCTGCATCAGTTCTCCTTCCAACTCATTCTCAACTCAATGTTTGCATTTTAATTGTTAATTATAAAATGGAGATAAACATAAGAATCTTTTGTGTAATCATTAAAGCTAGGATACCTAACTTTATTGTCTTCCGTATTTTGTAATGTCACAATTTGTAGTGCATAATCAGACCACATCATGCAGTCTTTATCTTATGCTTGTATGCCTGTAAGAAAGAGCACAATGATTCACTTTTTGAGGCGTTGGGCTGAGAGCTGTCTGAAAAAGCTTGTCTTGATTTGTGACAGAGGCCACAAAATGATTGTGAAACTAATGATAGAACCGTTGGAATGGAATGGAATTATTTCAGTTTCATGTTTTTATAGTGCTACCATAAGCAAATATTTTGGGGTTTTCTAGTTTTGTATGTGAATAATCTGCAATTAATGTAATTAGATGTTGACACATTTGCAAACTGGTATAATTTCCAAACAACATAAAGGTTAAAACAAATGTAAATGAACCCCTGTTCATTTGGAAATGTTGAATACCAAGTAACAAGTAGTCGTCTCGTTGTGGGCGTCTCGTAGTGGACGTCTCGAAGTGGCGAGCTATGATATACTGAAACCTAGATGTTTTGTCTCCTCTAACTCTCTCTGTTCCTCCCCTTCAGATCCGGCGTATGAGGACGAGGGCAGTGTTGGTTTGGTGATCCTCCTGGTGCTGTTCTCTGTGGTGGTGATCGTCTGCACCGTCGTGTCCCTGGTCTTTGTGATGTGGTAAGAGCTCTCACTGGTGCACTCTTAAGCGGTCTAAAGCAGACTTGGAGATTCTTATCCATGCATTTGTCTCCAGTAGGTTAGACTACTGCAATGGCCTGCTCACAGGTCTGTCCAAACAGGCTGTAAAACAGCTGCAGTACATTCAAAATGCAGCAGCTCGAGTCCTGACTAGAACCAGGAAGTACGACCACATTAGTCCAGTTCTCAGGTCTCTGCACTGGCTTCCTGTGGCTCAGAAAATAGACTTTAAAACAGCTCTGCTTGTGTACAAGTCTCTCCATGGCCTCGCACCAAAATATATTAGTGACATGTTAGTCCCATATGAACCAGCCCGGACTCTGAGGCGCACAGGGACTGGACTGCTGTTAGTGCCCAGAGTCAGAACTAAACATGGGGAGGCTGCTTTTCAGATTCATGCTGCTAAAATCTGGAACAGTCTTCCTGAAGATGTGAGACAGGGCTCCTCAATGACAATGTTTAAAACCAGGTTAAAGACAGTTCTGTTTAGCTGTGCATACAACTGAGGGATTTTATATTTAGGCCCGAGCCCCGAACGGGGTAAGGGCCTATTGCTTTCACAATGGTGAAAACAAATGGTGGCTGTGTGTGACGGACACGTCAGCGCCCGTCACTCACCACAACGTGACAGTTGCGTGCGTAAACACAAATGCTTTAAAATGATGTATCACATGCCATTGAAACCTATATTGTTTTTGCTCAAGACGTCAAAAAAAAAAAATCCTTATTGCTCTAGAGATGTCAAATTCTGCACTTTGAGCCTTAATTTGACCCCCTGAACATGCATGAAAAGTTGTTAAATTTTGCCCAAAAATCAGACTTGGTGAAACATTTGATATTTTGGTGTTTATTTTTATGGGACTCAAAAAATGCCAATTCTTCAGCTCGCTGTTTCTCCTCTTGAACGGACTGGTCTTTCTGGAAGAACGTTTGGACCAGCGTTCTAACGTTCTCACCGGGCCCCGTTTTGCTTTATCTCCCCTTGAACGCCCTGGTCTTTCTGGGAGAACATTTGGACCAGTGTCATAATGTTCTCACCGAGCTCCCTGCGCACCTGTCTATAGTGTGTGCAATCTGGCTGATTTTCAAACACACTTGTATTGCTAACTGTTGCCTCTACCTCTGTCTCTGTCTCGCTCTCTACCTTGCCTTCTACCTCTATTTCCACCTCAGTCTCCATCTGTCTCGCTCTCTATCTCGCTTTCTATCTTTGTCTCTAAATGGACTGGCTGATTTAGTGGTACCTGTGGCCCAGTCTCTGTCTGATTATCAGACGTCATGAGTCCATCACCCTCCATCAGAGTCTCGAGCTGACGCTCTTTCTTTGGTAGAGGCTTCTGTCGTTGGGCCTCCTTCCACTGCTCCACTCGCTCCCGCTCCCGCGAGTGGAGACTCCTACTGGTCTCTACTGCCTCCAACTGATCTTTGACCTCAGTTACTTCCTGCTGTAGAGCCAAGATCTGTTCATCTCTTATCCTCAGTTGTGTCTCGGTCTCTTTCTGTCTTGCTACAGACCGAGAATCTTTGTCTGACAACTGGAGCTGCAGCTGTTGGTGGGCTTCCATCCACTGCTGCAATCGCTCCCTCTCCAAACCCAATGAATGATTCTTACTGGTCTCTACTGCCTCTAACTGATCTTTGACCTCAGTCACTTCCTTCTGCAGTGCCAAGATCTGTTCATCTCTCAATCTCAGTTCTATCTCACTCTCGCCCTCTGTCTCGCTCTCCATCTGTATTACTACTGACGGACACGGTAGCTTTGACATCTGGAGCTGCAGCTGTCGGTGGGCTTGCTCCCACCTTGCCGATCGCTCGTTTGCCAATCCCAATGAATGCCTCAAACTGGTCTCAACTGCCTCTAACTGATCTTTGACCTCAGTTACTTCCTTCTGCAGTGCCTGGATTTGTTGATCTTTATCCTTCAGTTCTATCTCGCCCTCTGTCTCTGATACTACTGACTGATCCAGTGGTATCTGACCAGATTTCTTTGGTAACTGGAGCTGCTTCTGTTGTTGGGCTATCTTCCACTGCTCCAATCGCTTCCTCGCCGAACGCAATGAACGCTTCTTACTGGTCTCAACTGCCTCTAACTGATCTTTTACCTCAGTTACTTCCTGCCGCAGTGCTGATATCCGTTCAGCTCTCATCCTCAGTTCTATCTCACTCTCGCCATCTGTCTCGCTCTCTGTCTCGCTTTCCATCTGTATTACGAATGACGGAGAAGGTTGGTTTGATAACTGAAACAGCAGCTGTCGGTGGGCTTGTTCCCATTTTGCTGATCGCTCGTTTGCCAAACCCAATGATCGCCTCGAACTGGTGTCAACTGCCTCTAACTGATTTTTGACCTCAGTTACTTCCTGCTGCAGAGCCAAGATCTGTTCATCTCTAAGCTTCAGTTCTTCTTGAGCTCGGTTAAGCTGCTCTTGAAGACTCTCCCACTCAGCTCTTTTCACTCTGGCCTCTTCTGTGTCGCTTTCTGTGTCGCTTTCTGTGTCGCTTTCTGTGTCGCTTTCTGTGTCGCTTTCTGTATCGCTTTCTGTATCGCTCTTGAAAGTCCAAGGAAGGAGAACCCTCAATTTACCAAAGATAGATTCAGATCTCTCAGTCTCGCTCTCTGTCTCGCTCTCTGTCTCAATTTTTGTATCGCTCTCTGCCTCAATCACTCTCTCGCTCACTCTCTCTCTCCCTCTCGCACTCTCCCTCCTGTTTTCTGTCTTGTTCTCCGTCTCTGAAGCCCATAGACCGAAAAAGCTCCAGTTACTTAAGAAAGATAGCTCCCTGTATCGTCCCCCATCTCTCTCACTACATAATCCAGTGATATCTGACAATTGTTCTTTCCGCATGTTTGTGAATTACAAGCATGTACACACAGATTACCACTCATTCTGTTAGTATTTGTGTGCTAAGTTAAATACTAACAGGTTGATTAAAGATGAGAAGTAAAAGTAAGTCTTTGCCTTATCTGTGAAAAAATATGTATATCTTACTGCTTGGGAGAAGAAAATGGCTCCGAAAATCCTTTGAGGGGTCACGGTTGGCATTTACTTCGATGCTGTGTCTAGGCCTACATTCACATAGTAAATTCTGGAGTTCCGGAACCCTGTCGCGTCATCCGCTTGAAAGTTGTTGCCATAGCAACCGTTACCATGGAAACCTGTCATGGTAACGTCCATTGAGAAATACACAAGTTGACAGCCAAAAAATGGTCAGGGGTTTCTCAAGTGATTTAGACTAATTTTGGTGTTCTGAGTCCGAATATCACATGCATTTTGCTCTATCAGGTCAACTTTTTGAGATACAGCCATAGTGTTACGGATTATGTACGTCTACATTATTATGAATTCTGCTTATCAAATTTGATGGAGTAAATAAAAACTGAATGACTTTGGATACGTTGACTTTTATTTCTTGAGGAAAACGGAAAAAACGTCAAGGGTTTCTCAGCTGATGATCCGCAGAAATTTGTTTTTTACGCAAAATCAATAAAAAAAAATATTTCTGTAGCAAAAAATCCTGACCTGATTGACCAAAACCAAGGTCATTTTCGGACTCGGAGCATCAAAATTAGTCTAATTCAGCTGGAAACCCGTGGACTATTTTCAAAAAATATTTTTTTGATACCCAGTGATATCACTGGGGGGGAAAGAAAAATTATCTTGTTATAAAGAGATACAAGAAATGTCTCCTTTTGGAATGAAAAAATAAAGCAACATTTCTTGAAAGAAGACTAAATGGCTTTGTCCCGTTGGAGAATATAGTTTTAACTCTGTCGTAATGTGCTCAGATTAAGACAAAATAAACTTGAATTTAAGCATTTATTTGGTAAAAAATGCAAGGCAACCAGTATGTGTCATCCTCCTACCCCTCCTACCACCTCCAAACAGACTCATTCTAAGTACTACTACTACTACTACTACTACTACTGCTCTTATGCTGCCAGCCTCTCTCTTTACAAATGTTGCTGTATTTGATGTGTATTTTCTAATGGACTGTACAACTGTAACATTGAGAAAGACTTAATATGAATATTACAATCTTAATTGGGAATATACACAATGCAAATATAACATTAAGAGCTTATTGCAGCTATGGTTGCATTAGCCTGGTCTTACCATACTATGATGCCAATTTAAATTCGTACTAAAGTCTGGAGGTGCTCCATTGACTCCGTTAACAGGTGGGAGGGGTTAACTCCTTTTGAAGATTGAAACAATTGGATCGGAGTTTACAGTGACGTATGTAATGAGCCCGAGTGAGTGAGGCATTTAGCCTAGCTTTAGCATTTAGCCTAGCTTTAGCCATCTCCTTTGCCACTGGCGGAGCCCTTTGTCAGCAATGTAACTTGCTGAACATTCCTCTTGCTTCTTCATCTTCTTGAACTTCCTCTCCTCCTTCAACTTCTGATTCTTCTTCTCCTTCTCCTTCTTCTGATTCTGCACAGGCCTCAGTATCAGTACAATTCTACAAACATGCACAATTTTTACTATAACACTTTGCAAATGAGCAAAGAGAAGCGACCGGCTGAGAAATGTCCTACTTCTCATTGCGGTTAAAAGTTAGCGACGGAGAGATGTCCTCGACTGAACCAATTACTCTGGAATAGAGGCTTAGAGTTTTAATTGTTTTTCCCTCAAAGCCGATCCAGGTTTTCTCTTCTTTTTGTATAGACTTGAAGCTTGGAACTGAAATCTACCTCATTGGAACATCTGTCACTTGGTTTTAGACACTTTTACCATCAAACTGCATCTCAGCCATTTGTTAAAGGCCTGCACTGCAAAAAATACTAAAATATGAAGAAATAAAAGCTTAAAATTGAGTGTTAATTATTTTTTAAAACAATATTTGCCAACGGGACAAAGCTGTTTAGTCTAATTTCAAGAACTGTTGCTTTATTCTGTAGATAATGTTTCTGTGGACACATGTACCAGTAAATGTAGTTTTGACAGGCAAGGCAAGTTTAATTATATGGCACAGTTCATACAAAAGGCAACTCAAAGTGTTTAAGGATATCACATGAGGCATTCAAATCAGAAATAGTCACAGTGCATTAAAAAGAGTGAAGCTTACAATCGGCCAGGGGCCATGGGGAGGCCAGGGAGAGGGAGAGAGCGGCCAGAGAGAGACCAGCGAGAGGTCAGAAAGAGAAAAGCGAGACCAGAGAGAAAGGTCAGAGATAGACCAAAGAAAGACCAGAGAGAGACCAGAAAGAAAGACCAGAGAAAAAGACCAGCGAGAGGCCAGAGAGAGACCAGAGACAAACCAGAGACAAACCAGAGAGAGGCCAAAGAGAGGCCAAAGAGAGAGACTTGAGAGAGGGACCAGAGAGAGGGACCAGAGAGAGGGACCAGAGAGAGGGACCAGAGAGAGGGACCAGAGAGAGGGACCAGAGAGAGGGACCAGAGAGAGGGACCAGAGAGAGGGACCAGAGAGAGGGACCAGAGAGAGGGACCAGAGAGAGGGACCAGAGAGAGGGACCAGAGAGAGGGACCAGAGAGAGGGACCAGAGAGAGGGACCAGAGAGAGGGACCAGAGAGAGGGACCAGAGAGAGAGACCAGAGAGAGAGACCAGAGAGAGAGACCAGAGAGAGAGACCAGAGAGAGAGACCAGAGAGAGAGACCAGAGAGAGAGACCAGAGAGAGAGACCAGAGAGAGACCAACCAGACTTAGTAATCTCTTTAAAATCCAATCTTTTATTTGCGGATCATAAAGATATTATTTATTCTGGTCTTTACCCGAATAAACAATATGTTTTCCATCCATCGACTTCTTAAAAAATTGAAATATGGACATACAAAGAACTTTATTTGTTGCCACAGTGGAGAAATGTCAGTGTTGCAACACATGTGACCAAACAGGAGAAAAGAGGAGCACAAAATATTATAATATATTATATATAATATAATAATATATATAATAGTTATTATAGAAGTTAATATTTAGTCACAGAAAAATATATATATTTTTCCTCTGTGTCTGATTGTCCTGCTCTAAATGTATTAGTCTTTCTGGATTCAGACCAATGAAGAATGACCGAAAGAACGAGATCGCGGATATAAGCGGTCGAAATGAGCTTCCTCCGCAGAGTGGCTGGGCGCTCCCTTAGAGATAGGGTGAGGAGCTCAGTCACACGGGAGGAGCTCGGAGTAGAGCCGCTGCTCCTTCACGTCAAGAGGAACCAGTTGAGTTGGCTCGGGCATCTGTTCAGGATGCCTCCCGGACGCCTCCCTGGGAGGAGGCCCCGGGGAAGACCCAGGACACAGAGGGACTATGTCTCTCAGCTGGCCTGGGGTCCCCCCGGACGAGCTGGAGGAAGTGTATGTGGATAGGGAAGTCTGGGCGTCTCTGCTTAGACTGCTGCCCCCGCGACCCGGCAACGGATGAAGCGGAAGAAAAAGGATGGATGGATTCAGACGAGATGAGGAGGTCTCTGCTCCGTCAGTGTTTTCGAGACCTCTGCTCTTGGAAATTTCTCCTGTGTGGGATCAATAAAGTCTATCTTATTGATACAAACAAACTGCAGAATAGTCTTTGGAAAACTCAAAAGTATCAAAAAGATATTAAACTATTTTCGATTGCATACAAAAATGCAATTAAATGTATTTTTGTATAGCCTTAAATCAGCCGTCTCTTATAATTTCCTGCTGGGACTCTGAGGAGCACAGGGACTGGCCTCCTGCTGGTCCCAGAGTCAGGACTAAACATGGAAAAGCAGAGTTTGAGAAAAATGAAATAGTGCTTTGAAATAAGGGGTGGGATTAAATAAGTTTCTACTTCTCCCCATTCCTTTGCGTAGATTAAATGAGAGAATTTATCATTATGTTCAATTTAACAATATTTTTTTAATAGGCCCGAGCCCCGAACGGGGGGCGCTGACATCATCTCACTACATGTACCATCAAAATGACTTTATCAGTAAAACGTTGTTTGAGCAGCGGAGTGGCAAAATGTGACCCTTTTTTGGCCGTTTTGGACAATACTAAATTTGCTCCCGTTTGCACATACAAAGTCTGATTAGCTCAAAACTTTAATACATTGCTCAACTTCAACCTTCAGGGCGGAAGCAGCAGCGTCGGGGTCCGCTTCGCCCTGTCAGTACTTATTTTCCGATAATGACCTGCGTAATATACGTTATCCCTTACTTGGCTCATTAGCGCCCTCTACAGATGGGGTCCAAGATTTTAGTATGGGAGCGTTTCGAGGTCAAGTTTTTTGCCTAGGCTTGAAATTTGGTACACATGTTCCTCATCTCAAGACATGAAATAAAAGTAGTTATGGCCCCGCCCCCTGACAAACAGGAAGCCCATAAATTTCACTTCAAAATGTAAAAATGAAAAGTGATCCTTTTCACACGTGACGGTTGGAAAGCGACTCCTCCTCGGCCGTTTATCCGATTTACCTCAAAATTGCGCCACATCTAAACACATGTACCGTCATTTTGATTTCACAGACTTTTGATCAGTAAAACGTTGTTTGAGCAGCGGAGCGCCAAAAAGTGGCGTATTTTTTTCAGTTTTTGACAATAGAAAAATTGCTTCCGTTGCACAAACAAAGTCCGATTTGCACAAAACTTGAATCCATGGTTCAACTCTAGGGTCTAGGTCATTTGAAAGTAAAAATTTTGAAATTGGCTACATAGCGCCACCTACAACAGCCAATTTAAAGACTCCTATGGGAGGGGTTTGAGGTAAAAATTGTCGTAGAGCCATGTCATTTGGTACACATGTTCCTCACGTCAAGACATGAAAAAAATGTATTATGGCCAAGCCCTCTGACAAACAGGAAGCCCATAAATTTCACTGCAAAATGGAAAAATGATCCGCATTAATTTTCTTACATGTCGGTTGGAAATCTTCTCCTCGGCCGTGTCACCGATTGGCCTCAAAATCGCTCCACATCATCTCAACACATGTACCTTCAAAATGACCAAAGGGATTTTTGATCAGTGAAAAGCTGTTTGAGTAGCGGAGCGGCAAAATGTGACCTTTTTTTTGCCGTTTTTTACAATCGAAAAATAAGATAAGATAAGAAGATAAGAATTCCTTTATTCGTCCCACAGTGGGGAAATTTCGATGTTGCATCGCACATATAGGACAGTAGTAAGAGCACACAGGGAGCACACACAATATATACAAATAAGTAGTAGCTATTTTTCTTAGCTAACATAACTAGCTGTAGATGCTGAAAATGCTCCAATACCAGTCAAAATATATATGTAGTAGTGCAGTTATATACTGTACATTAAATAGTGCAGGATAAAAAGTATATAAGTAAAGTGACATGAGGTAAAGTGACATTGTTCTCTGACATCCTGAAGTTGCAGTATTGCACATTGCACATGATTTAAGAAATAGCTTCCATTTGCACAAACAAAGTCTGATTTGCACAAAACTTTGACACATTGTTTAACTCTAGGGTCTAGGTCATGTAAAAGGGAAAATTTCAAAATTGGCGCATTAGCGCCCCCTACAGACTGAGGCAAAGTTTTACATTGGAAGCCAAACAAACTCAACCCATTATATTCATAACAATTTCACAAACATTCTTTTATGGCTACGGGACCAAATAATGGCACGGCGGCGCCACCTCCAATAAGCAGCGCGGCGTGGTGCGGGGCGGCGTGGTGCGGGGCGGCGTGGTGCGGGGCGGCGTGGGGCGGGGCGGCGCGGTGCAGGGCGGCATTGTGTGAGGCGGCATTGTGCGCGGCTGCGTAGTGAGAGGCGGGGGGGCACCAAGCCCATGGCACCATGGGCTTGGTAGAGGGAGGCGTGGTGCGGCACGGGGCGGCTTGGTGCAGGGAGGCGTGGTGCGGCACGATGTGGCGTGGTCCGGTGCGGCGAGGGCCGTTCGACGCCGCTTGCGGCTTTAATTTTATCTTTCTTTTTAATGTTCTGTGATTATTTATGATTTTTATGCTTTCTTATTTTGTTCAGCACTTTGAATTGCCTTGTGTATGAATTGTGCTATATAAATAAACTTGCCTTGCCTTTGCCTTGCCACTCTTCGAGCCTCAGTGTGACCTGGTATCACACCGCAGCCCACATCCCCAAAGCACATCTGTCACAATTATCGGATTCAAATTCACGTCGTTCTGTCAAAAAAGCAACAGGTCTACTGGATACTGTATTTATTATGATCTATTTTGTCTTCCTTACTGATTGTCAAACTTTTTTCTATTCTAAATGTGGAATTTAAATGGAGGAATATTTGTAACTTTCTGAAGGTCTCATGAAGGAAATGCTTTATTAAAACGTGTTTTTTTACTTTGTGATGATTGGTGATGGTGACTCACCCAGCCCTCATCAAATCTTATGGACTTGGCATCAATTATTGACATGTTTGGAGGATATAATTTCTTTGGTAATTCTTTGTAACTGAATAACCCCATAGTAAAACAGAAATAACCTGTACACCATTGTCTTTAGGGTGAAGCAGCGGCGGCGGAACCAGGCAAACAAGCAGGAGCTCACCTCCATGGTCAAGATGAAGTCCATGCCAATATAATGTAAGCCACGCACACTATGTTTTGAAGAATGATAAACATTATGACAATATAGTCAGACCCAACGATTAAAAAAACCCACAATCCTAGTGTATTATTCATAACGCTGACCACAAACAGTGATTTAAAAGACTTGAATGACTTATGATGGTGAAATACAAGTGAATCAGGTTCTGTTGAAATCCTCTGGCGCTTGTTTGTGGCTATAAAATTCAAACATCGATAAATGTGCATGAATCCAGGACTGAGGCTGTAGAACCAGGACTGAGGCTGTAGAACCAGTTCACAGATGCAGGTAAAATAAGCTTACCTGAAAAGTAATCTTTGACATGTATAAAGCATATACATTAAATTGTTCCTGATCCAGCTCCTGTATGTCCACACACGCATGGTTTGTTTGTATTATTTGTTTCACTGCGGGAGGCTGCTGGTGCTGGCTGACTCACTGTCTAGTGGCTGAAGTTGAAATGCGCAGGGCTAATTATGTGTCACACACAGCAAGAAGTTTTCAAATGAGCGTAGACAAAATTATATGGAAGAGCCTGGAAACAACGTCCACATAGTGTTAGAGAAAACATATTACAAGGCTGTCTTACATCCCTATTCAAACCTTTGTTGGTGTATTTAATTTTTTTGTTCACTACAGTGGTAAAGTTTGGTACTACATGTTTGGTATTTATGTTCGCAATTGCGTTGAGTATTTGAAAAACAGTTTTCACATGCATGTATTTTTTGGCCTCTGTCACATCTGTAGATCAGATTGCTTAGATGGAAAATAAATTGAGATGACCACTCTCATCAGCTCTCAGCCCAAAAATGATCGTTTCGTGAACAAATCAGACCACAGGCTGGCCTTGTGTCTTTTGCATACATACTTCACCCCCATTGCCTAGAATGAGTCTGGTGTGTGTGTGAATGGTTGGTGGTGGTCGGAGGGGCCGATGGCGCATACTGGTTGCCTCGCTTCTGTCAGTGTGCCCCAGGGAAGCTGTGGCTACAGTAGTAGTTTATCACCACCGTGTATGAAGTGAATGAATAATGACACATGTGAAGTGTCTTTGAGTGTCCAAAAAAGCGCTATATAAAACCGATGCATTATTATTATTATTAGTAGCCCATAAACTTGTACTATAATTTTTTTGATAGTTTGCATCATTTCATTTGTTGTATCAAGTTTCCCCAACGTACTCTTAGGGGTCTGCGTACAGTTAGGAAACACCATTTGTGATAACTGGGAAATGAATCCTTTGATACATCCGTCCGTCCGTTTTCTTCCGCTTCATCCGTTGCCGGGTCCGGGGGGACCCCAAGGCGTTCCCAGGCCAGCTGAGAGACTGACCCAGGTAGGGAGGACGTGAACCCCTGGAACACCTCCCTAGGGAGGTGCCCAGGAGGCATCCGGAACAGATGCCCGAGCCACCTCAACTGGTTCCTCTCGACGCAGAGAAGCAGTGGCTCTACTCCGAGCTCCTCCCGTGTGACTGAGCTCCTCACCCTATCTCTAAGGGAGCCCCCACTCTGCGGAGGAAGCTCATTTCGACCACTTGTATCCGCAATCTCGTTCTTTCAGTCATTACCCAAAGCTCATGACCATAGGTGAGGGAGGGAACGAAGATTGACCGGTAAATCGAGAGCTTTACCTTTCGGCTCAGCTCCCTCTTTACCACAACGGTCCGATACAGCGACTGCATCACTGCGCACGCTGCACCGATCCGCCTGTCAATCTCACGCTCCATCCTCCCCTCACTCGTGAACAAGATCCCGAGATACTTGAACTCCTCCACTTGAGGAAGGACCTTTCCACCCACCTGAAGAGGGCAAGGCACCTTTTTCCGGTCGAGCACCATGGCCTCAGATTTGGAGGTGCTGATTCTCATCCCAGCCGCTTCACGCTCGGCTGCAAACCGTCCCAGTGCATGTTGCAGGTCCTGGTTCGTCGGAGCCAACTGGACAACATCGTCCGCAAACAGCAGAGATGAGATCCTGTGGTCCCCAACCTGACCCCCTCCGGCCCCTGGTTGCGCCTAGAAATTCTGTCCATGAATACAGTGAACAGAACCGGTGACAAAGCACTGTCACACAGCATCCATCCATCCATCCATCCATCCATCCATTTTCTTCCCCTTAATCCATTTCTGGGTCGGGGGGGTGGCAGTCAGAGCTGCACCCAGTTCACAGAGCACCAGCCCCTCACTGATCCTCCTGCAGGTGGTGAGTCCACAGGAGCTGAGATCTTTCAGCGGGGGCTTCAGGCAAAGTGGGGTTAAGTGTCTTGCCCAAGGACACAACGACAGCAGTCATCAGTGGGAGTTGTGAAGTAGGTCTTATGGTGGGCTCGAACCCACGACCTTCAGGCCTAAAGGCCAGTGCTCTACCAACTGAGCTACTCTCGCCCCATGTCACACAGCAGTGTTGATACATTATCAGTCTATTTTATGTGTCTATATAAGTGTGTTTTTCTCTCCTCTTCCAGGTTGAATCAAAGTGTCCTCGTCATCGGCCCGTTCTAGGGCTCCCCCCGCTAGTCATTCTCGGCGGGACTCGCGCAGCGCCGGTCAAACGTTTCCATCCACAAAACAGCCTTAAAATGACTGTTTGGATCTACCTGGCAAGCCAAGGCCAAACTGGCTGCTTTTCACGTCGACTACAAACGCTGGGATCTTACACTACAATCTCTCACTACAACTCCCAGAATGCACCAGTGGGACAGAACTGATGCTGCTTCAGGAGGACCGACCCTTTACTGTTTTCGTTAAAGAAGGGAGACTTTTCACTACAAGTAAGGATTTAGTGCAGCTGCCAAAATGGGAGACACAAGCCAAAGATTTGTAGATTGTTCTTTTATTGCAATTCAAGTTTTTGGATTTTGGCTTCTGCTCTCCCATTGCAAATCCCTCACTTTTTTCGTAGGTTTATTCGTCGTTGTTTTTCGTCCATTTCGACTGAGCGTCTGATCCAATGCTGTGAAGGAAGTTTCTCTTTATCAAAGATGCCAAAGCAGTATCGTGGGGCATTATTATGGCTATTGCAAGAAAATGTGGACTACAAAGTATATCGGGGCGGGGCATATAGACATTTATTTTCTTGCGTATTTCTTGTTTGTCGTCGTATTGTGCATACGTTCATCCTTCTTTGTTAATCCATATATATTTTGGAGTTAGCGTATTGTTGCTGAACAAGGAGGTAATGTAATATATGCATGGGCCGTTCACAGAGCACCAGCAAAATATATTTGAACACATAGAGTAGAGGACTATTCTAGTGACTGCCCAGATCCAAAGATTTTTACTATTGTAAAGTGCACTTAATAGAACTAAAAGCAGGTAAAACTAAGAAAGAAACTCACTTTAGCCTGTAGAAGATTAGCGTACATGTATTATGTGCAAATTGTAACGAGAGGGACTTGAAATAGCAGTAAGCAACGAGGGATAAATAATTTAAGCCTTTTGATTTTGGGGTTGAATACAATGGGAAATTACACTAAATGTATGCACAAAATGTATTGGTTCAAGCTAAAGACGTATATTTTAAAGTAATGTAAATTAATACAATGACTGTTTTTTTGTGTAGCCTTAAATCACAGTCGTCTCGAAGGACTTTACAAAGTTGTCAATTCCTCAGAGAATAAACAAGTTTGACCACAGGAAATACAATAATAATAAAAACACATAGGAGACATTGGTCCATAGGGAGTGGGATGACTAATGTACAGAAGTATCCTAAATGTCCCGGATCATCGCTGTCTTTAGACCCTGCATCAGCAAGGAACGACCCAAAAACAGGCCATAGATCCAGGATTCAGGCAGTAGAAGGACTGAGGTGCGGTACAGGACTAAAGAGGCAATGTCAAAGCTAAAAAAAAAAAAGCAAAGAATCACAAATATCGGTATGATACTTGTGATTATGTGTCATGATTATTGTTTGTTATCAATATAATTACAATCCAAAATATTATCATTATGATTACTGGAACTTTGGGATTCTAAGAATGTTGGTAATACTACATGTTCTTCCACATTCAACATGGTGGTCAAACATTATCAACAAGCAACAGTATCCATTGATAAATGAGTATGTATGAAAATTGGCTACATCCGGACTGAACAATACTTTTGTCGACCAAACGATTGAATAGAAACTTTATGTTCTCATCCCAAAAAGTATGTGTAGTGTAAGGTCTATAAATGCATTTCTCTGCGGTTTGAAATTGTAACAGAACTTTTTTAAATGTCTGATATTTTCCTTCCTGCTGCTTCGAGTCCGTCACGCTTTCTCACCAGAACCTCCTGTACTAAAACCCAGGGCAGATAAGACACTAGTTATTATGCATTTTTGTTTTTTATTCTTTTGAAAACAGAAATCTGAAATGTGAAGTAGAAGTGTTTATAACCGTGTATATTGTATAAGAAGAGGGGAACATATTTATATTATTTTACTCCACTGCCATTATGCTCCCTGAATTGTGACTGACCGATGCGATTCCAACAAGCACTTAAAAGAGTTTTCACTGCCCATTACTTCTAACTTCATCACATTTTTCTTCATGTGTGAAATTAGCTCTTCTCCTCAACCACAGCTGTGTTTCTCGTTTCTTTCCTGTATCTCAATTTGAGGCCGAGCAGCAGGCGATTTCACAGATGGATCCTTCCCACTTAAACATGTACTATAGCCCCCCGTAACACCCTCCTCATCCCCACTCCCGTCCCCTCTCTCTGGACCCCAAGACCAATTTCTAAGTCTGAGGGAATTTTCTGGTTAAATAATGGTCAATGATTAATCGGAGGTAATAACTGGTGATTTTTTTCAAGTGTTGTACTTTCAAAAATGATCGATAGCTACTGCTCTCATTTGGATACACCTGCTTTTTCCTATTTGCATCTGTTAAATAATATATTCCTTGTGCGCATGGATTCCCTCTACAATGAAATCATAACTTTGATATTTATCCAACACAGATTTAGATTTGTCTTTCCAACTAGATTTTTTATGAAAACATTTTAAA